CCTGACTCCAGGGCTGGTGCTCCATCCATTGTACCACCCAGCTGCTTCCTAATACTTGTTGACTGACTGACTGGTTAATAGATAATAGGAAACACTGGGGCCAAAGAGGACTGTAGACCAAGTGCTCTAAGAAAATGTGAAGAGGGAAGTAAGCTTTTTCAAGCATGAAAAGATCAGAGAAGGCTGCACAGAAGAGCTGAGCCTTGAAGAAGGATCTGAAAGGTAGTCTAATCCTCTGGTGATTGTCCTCTGCTGGACCTGTATGTACTCAAGCCTTATCCAGCTTGACAGGACCTGCCAAGACCTATGCTTCACTGGCAGAGCCTTTGAGAGCCCGAGGTCACTCAAGCATGTGCCCTGAGAGGACACCAAAGGAAGACTTCAGTGGAGAAGCATATCATCATCATTATTATCATCAAAGTCATTGTCTCCATCCACCACCACCAGCACCACCACCCAACTGACTCATAAGTGTTACCTGAGAACAAGATAAAGGGAAAGAAAAATAATTCATTAAGCCCGTTCCCCTGCCCCCAAGAGGCAGCCATGGCATAGTGGATGTGGCACTGCATTTAGAGTCAAGAAATTCTGGGTTCAAATTCTGCCTCAGACTCTTACTAGCTTTGTGACTTCATTTCTCAATCTGTAAAATAAGAGGGGGGAGAGTGACAAGGTTGGACCTGTGCTTTAGGAAAATCACATTAGTGACTGAATGGATAGATTGGAGCGAGAGGAGACTTGAGACAGGCAGACCCACCAGCAGGCTATTACAATAGACCTGATGAAGGGCTGGCGTAGGGGTGATAATGAGTGATGAAGGCCTGCACCAGGGTGGGGGCATATTCAAGAGATGTTACAAAGGTGAACTCAATAAGCCTTGACAACAGATTAGATATGGATGGGAGGGTGTACGTGAGAGAGTGAGGAGTCCAGGCTGACTCCTAGGTTATGAACCTGAGGGACTGGAAAGATGGTATCGTCCTCTACAATAACAGGGAGGGTAGAACTGGATGGTGGAGAGTTTAGAGGGAAAGCTAATGAGTTTAGCTTGGGACATGTTGAGTTTAAGATGTCTACTGAACATTCAGTTTGAGATTTTGAGAGACAGCTGGAGATTCAAGATTGGGGGTCAGCAGGAAGATTGTAACAAGAAACTTAGATTTAAGAGTCACTAGCATGGAATTAATAATTAAATCTATGGAAGGTGATGAGGTCACCGAGGGGAATAGTTTAGAGAGAGAAGAGAAAAGGGCCCAGGAAAGAAGTCTATCATTAGAGCACAAGATCTGGAAGAGAGTCCAGCAAAGGAGACAGAAAAGGTGCGGTCAGCTAGATGGGAGGAGAACCAGGAGAGAGTGGTGTCCCAAAAACCTGGAGAGAAAAGAGTATTATGGAGAAGAGAATGATCAGTGGTGTCAAAGGCTGCTGAGAGGTCAAGGAGAATGAGGTCTGAGAAAAGGCCATTGGATTTGGCAACTAAGAGATCATGAGTAACTTTGGAAAGAGCAGTTTCAGTGCAGTGCTACGGTCTGAAGCCAGATTGTAAGGGATTAAGAAGAAAGTGAGGGGAGAGAAAGTGGAGGCCATGGTGGACGGTCTTTTTGAGGAGTTTAGCTATAAAGGGCAGAAGACACATAGAGTGTTGATGAATAGAGACGGAAGAATTACGTAGTTTTTTTTCAGGGTGGAGGGATGTGGGCATATTTGAAGATAGAAAGGAATGAACTAGAAGACGTCAAAAGAGTGAAAATAAGTGAAAGAGTAGAGATGACAGAGGGGGCAATTTGTTAGAGGAGATGGGATGGAGTGGGATCACTTTAACAAATAGAACAAGTATCTTCGGTAAGGAGTAAGCCACTTGATCCCGTGAGACAGGGTGAAGGGCAGAAGGCAGCTGAGTGATAGATCATTCATTGTTGTCCTTTGTACTCGAAGAGGAGCAAAATAACATCCAGTGTGTCCGACAGTGGCTGATCAACCAATGTAAGCTGCCCACAGGTTGGGCATAAATAGTTCATATGAACTTTCGGGATGAAGATGGCTCTAAATTTGTGCATCTCTATAGGAAATGAGGAGGAGGAAAGAAGAGGGAGCTCATGGCAAATGGCCTCAATTTTTTCAGTAAAATATGAGGCAAGGTTCTCAGCTGAGAGGGTGGGGGAAGGGGGAGCCATGTGAAATTGGAGAAGTGACAGCCAGGGGCAGAGGCTGCACAGGCATGGACTGGAACTTCCTAACCTGTTATCCTTTCTTGGTATTGCTCTTTCCAGCTTCCCTGTCGATACACCGTCCCAGTCCATTTTAGCAGCCTGAGAATTTTTTTTTTAGGCAAGTGGGGTTAAGTGACTTGCCCAGGGTCACACAGTTAGTAAGTGTCAAGTGTTTGGTCTGAGGCTGGATTTGAATTCAGGTCCTCTGGGCTTCAGGGCCAGTGTTCTATTACTGCACCACCTAACTGCCCCTAGCAGTCCGAGAATTTAAAGAATGTATCCCCCCAAAAGATCCAGCTTGGGCCAGTAGATGATTAAATAACTAGGCTTTGTGGCCCTTTGACACCCTCAGTCCAAGGAGGATCATTGCCACTACCTCAGAGTCAAGCAAGGGATGCCTCCAGAACACTCAGAATTACAGATTCACAGCATCTGAGTGCTGGAAGAGACCTTGCAGCCATGGAGTCCACCCTGGGCAGGAGAGGAGTCCCCATGCTAACACCCAGTAAGTGATTGTCCAGCCACCCCTTCAAGACCTCCAAGGAGGGGAAACCTGCCACCTCTCTAGCTGGCCCACTCTACTCTGGGGTAGTTGTGATTATTAAGGACTTTCCTGACCTTGAGCCTAAGTAACTTCCTTGCATCGCCCCTACTTCTGACCTCGAAAGGAACAAGTCTGGACTAGAGCCTCTGACACATGAGAAGCCTTTTGTAGGGTGGGGGCTCTCTCTCTCATCCTCACTTGGGGGTCCCACCATCTTCTTGGGGGTACATGTGATTCCCAGATCTCCATATCCAGCCATAGTCTCTGTCCTCTGCTGTCGTCCTGCATTGCCAACTGCCTAGTTATCTCAAACTCAACATTTCTAACATGGAACCCCTTACCATTTTTTAGATAGTAGCCTAAAATGATCTTTCTTCTTTGGTATCCTATTACTGTCAAGGACATCAGTATCCTCCCAGCCACCCAGGTTCTCAACCTCTTTGCCATCTTCAGTTTTTCACTCTCTCTCATCCCACAGTCTACCTCCACATCTGTTCCTCCCTTGCCACTTACCTAGGCACTACTCTAGTTCAGGCCTCCATCACCTTTGGCCTGGACTATTACAACAACCTCCTAATTGATATCCCTGTCCCTCCTCACTCCAATGCATCCTCCACATTGTAATCACTTAATTAATGTTGGTTGTTGAATTGATTAATTGATCCCTGTTTGGTATGTCTAATTGGTTTCCCATTTCTGATATCATAGCCAGAGAGGTGCTGGGGAATGGCCAGTGAGGCCCTTGTTGTACAGACATGAGGCCCCGACATGGAACAGTGACATTGGTAGCCTGGAAATTCCAGGAATGGAAGATACCAGAAAGGAGCAGAAGGAGGGAAAGACAATGTCCAGAGCAGAGACAGCTTTCTGTTAAAAAAGCCAAGCCTGGAAAAACCAGAGAAGATTATTTTTGAAACTGTCATGTGCATTTCTACAAGAGGCCTTGCTGGGCCTCCTCCTCCCAAATCTTTTCTCCATACCCCCCTCCCAACATAGGACCTTCCTTCTGAAACTATCTCCACCCACTTATCCCATATATATCTTTTATGTATATAGTTGTATATGTTGTTCTCCCCCCCCCACCGAGGAAATTAAAATTATTCTATATCATTTAACAATTGATTCTGTTCTGTAATTGACCCCATTCCCTATTTCAGCAAGCTCCGTTTCTCAAATCTGGAGTTAAGCTTAAGAATGCAGGTGTCCTTCCAAGCCATAGGTGGGGTTGAAAAGGAATGTTGTTATCACTCCTGCAGTTAGCCCCTGAGACATCTGCTTGTTGTCTGTAAGTCCCAACCAGCTTAACCTGGTGCCATCCCACAAAGACAAGTCACCGGTCCTTGCCTGTCCTTGTACAATGAAGGGAAATCTGATCTCCCCCAAGGGAACAACTAGCTGGGTAGTTCTGGTCCCCTAACAAAGATTACAAGAGGCAGATACATCTCATAAAACAATAAACATTCCTCAATGGTCAGAGACGGGCATGATTAGCCATTATGCCAACCCACTTTTCTCAATGTAACCAATTATAATGGTCTCCAACTACCCAGACCCTCCCTCCCCCATTCATGTAGGTCAATAAAAGGATTCTCCTCTTCTCATTGTGGCCTTGTTGATGTGGCTAGTCTGACACACTTTGTTAACAGTTACATGTGGGGCAGCGAAGTGGCACAGTAGATAGAGCCCTGAGCCTGGAGTCCAGAGGACCTGAGTTCAAATTTCAGCCTCAGACCAGACACTTCACACTTACTAGCTGTGTGACTCTATCACTTAACCCCAATTGCCTCACCAAAACAGAAACAAAACAGTTATATGCATCACTGTTAATAAACTGATTATGCATGGAGTGTGTACCTCAGTTTGCCTTCATTGCATTTACTCACCCCCACAACTCATTAGCAAGTGAGCTCCTTGAGGGCAGGTCTTTTGCCTTTCTTTGTATCTCCTTTGCTTAGCGCAGTTCCTAGTACACAACAGGCACCTAATAAATGCTCATTATGATAGCAATGACATTCTTGCTTTTTCTTGGCTTGCAGTGGTCAGGTGACCTCATAGGAATACCAGAAAAAATCTTGTTGACTTCCCCTTTTGCCATGAGATAAATGAAAAGCCCAAGAGGGAGAGTTTCTGGATAATTAACAATCAATTTATTAATTAGGCTAGCTGATAATTAATTGACGGTCAGTGGTTTCTCTTGGTAACCAAAGACAAAACCATGGAGATCACTGAATGCTTAAATACCTTTGGAAAAAGGAGGTTCCCCTGACAGGTGAAAATCAACGTTGATTGGTGAACAATTAATGAGGGGTAGATATATTAATGGAGGTGGGCTAAAAATCTTCCACTCCTCTTGTTGAGAATGTGGCTTGGTCATGAGACTGACTTAGCTGCCCCAACAATCTGGAGAGGGGAACCCATCTCTACCCAGACCAATCTGGTTGGTTTTCTCCTAGAGGAGCTGGGTTACCCTAAACTCCAATGGAGGGATACAATGACATAGGCTTATTTCCTAAGGGCAAGAATCTTCCTAGATCAGATTCTGTTTACACTCTAAAGAGAAGTAAGGTCTTCTGGTTGGTGGAGAGAGGCTCCTGTCCAAGATCTAGGAACGTGTATCCAGAGGATTTTGGCAATCTCATTTATCAGCAATGTCCTTCAGAGACCGATTGACTGACCTACAGGTGCTAGTTCCTGAATGAGAACATAAAAGGAAAATACCTTAATCATAATTTAATAATTGGTTATTAATACAACAGAAAATAATAATTTCCCTCAGCCACAATCCCCGCTCCACCTTAATCAGATTGGAGAATGGTGATTTGCGGTTCAGTCTATAGAGGTGATAGAGCCATGGGGCAGTTGATTTATGTATCAACGGACTGGTTGGGAGGTAGTGTTGGCTTGATTACTAATATTCATAGATGATTTTTAAAAATCTTTGCTGAATTGGATTAAATTAACTTTTAATTTATGGATTAAATTTCTTCTGGCTTTTGTTGCTTTTGTTATTTGTCTGTTTAGGTATAAATCTCCAATCTCTTCCCCACCCTAGAACTAAGCAGGAAGCAGCAGCAGGGAGAGGGGATTGGGAAAGGGCACCTAGCCAGTCCAAAATCACTGGGGGAAAAAAGTATAGTGTGAGTGAGACAAGCTAGTTTCTGTGCCTTAGATGTTTGCTTAAAAACCCAGCCAGCAAATGTGTGCTTACTGATGCTTCCCATGGGCAGAGACCTGACTGGCTTCTGTGGCAAAGTGTAGGTGGGAGCCCAGCCCCATAGGCACCAGCAAATTTGATTTTGTGCTATTCTTAATCTCTCTAATCTTGACCTAGCAAGTTCATCACCGAAATGCTTTTAATCTTTGGGCTTAAAGAGAAAGCACTCAAATCAGATTTGGAGAATCTGAATCTGGAAAGGGGCCAATCACTAATTGGAGACAGTTGTCCTGCTCTTTAGGGGCAGCTGACCTCAACAGATTTCCGAAGCTGAGAGGCTAGGGAAGAGAGCAGGGAAGGAGGCGGGGTACCCTCCCTCCTTGCAAAGCTTTCCCTGAGCTCCACATTGTTAGTGCTGTCTTCTTCCTTAAAAGACCTCATTCATTTAAGTATGTACACGTTATGGCTCCCAGAAAGACGGAAGCTCTGTGAGGGCAGGGACTCTTCCACGTTAATCTGCATATCCTTCGTATCTAACACATCTGAGAATAACAATAATATTTATCATAGGATTTATCACATAAAAATATATCTACTATACTAATATATAATTTATCATATTAATGATATTAATATAATGTGCTTTGTAAACCTTAAAGTGCTATGTAAATGCTAATCATAATGCTATTCTATTCTATGTTATAACATTGTAGTATATGACATTATATTGTAATATGTTATATAATATTATATTATGTTATGTTATATGGTATTGCATTATGTTATGTTATATCATATTATGTTATGTTACATTGTTCTGTTCTGTCCTGCTATATTATATTATATTATGTTATGTTATGTTACATTAAATATAATGTAACATAACATAATATAACATAACATAATATACTGTGATATATAATGTTATAACATACTGTATATTATATAATATTATACTATATAACATTATATATACTAACACTGTATTATATCCTTAGCATTTATATAGCACTTTGAGGTTTGTAAAACACTTTACATATGTAAAATTAATAATAAAACAGAGGTTGCAGTGGGCCCAGTGGAAGGATTTGGAAGACTGGGGTAGGGACACAGAAGGGATGGGTCTGACATGGATGGGTGTGAGGGAACAGGGAGTGTTGGTTAGAAAAGGGGACTCTGGCCCAGGCAGTTTAAGACTCAGAATCACAAAGATTTTGTTGGAGTGGAACCACATGGCAACAGATTTTTCTGCCTTTCATAGCAGATCTCCTTTGATCTTCACAACAGCTCTGGGAGGCAGGTGCTGTAATGATCCTGCTTTTATCAATGGGGAAACAGGCAGGCAGAGGTTAAGTGACTTGCCCAGGGTCACACAGCTAGAAAGCAGCTGAGGCCAGATTTGAAACTCAGATTTTTGTTGACTCAAGTCCAGCAGGCTGCTTGGGGAAACCTCAGTCCTGTGTTTTATCATTTTCTATTTCATGCAGTATCTATATCCTAAACTAGATAGTTCACCAGGCCTGGAGTCAGGAAGCCCTGAGTTCAAATCTAGTCTCAGACACTTACTAGCTAGGTGACCCTGGGCAAGGCACTTCACCCTGTTTGTGTCAGTTTCCTCACCTGTAAAATGAGCTGGAGAAGAAAATGGCAAACCACTCCAGTATCTCTGCCAAGAAAACTCTAAATGGGGTCACGGAGAGTTGGACACAACTGAAACAATTAAACAACAGCAATAATGTGAGTGTGTTCATGGTTCACATGGACTAGAGGAGCTGAGAATGTTGATAGAAAACGAGACATAACTTATACCTGCTATATTTGGAAACTCTCTAAGCAGGGGCAAAATGCAAACCAAATTTGTAAGTTTGTGAAGCAGTCGATGCAAATGATTCTTCTCTATTTAAAAGAAACCCTAGTTTAAGTCCAGAAGAGCTCAGGCCAGGGTAGGAGAGCAGGTGTCTGCTGTATGTAGGGCAAATGACCTAAGCTCTCTGCAGTCCCAATGTCAGCCCTTACCTGAGGGGACTAGGCCACCATCTGGGGTACCCCATTACCTGGAGGTGGGGTGTATTGCTATCAAACCTACTTGCCTTTACAGATGGAGGAAAACCCATTTTCTCTCATATAAATAAACGAGTTTCCTTGTTCTTCTGAAACTCGGCTCCCCTAAGAATTGAAACTGAGCTGGCCAGGGGGTGTTTCTTTCCCTCGGCTCATTTGTTATTCTGGGGTTGTTGCTGATTGACATTTGCCTTTGAGGTGCTGTAATTCTGAATATCCTGCAGGGGGCTTCTGGAGGAGGGAGGGGGGCCCTGGCGCAGCCTTCTGCAGGGAATGACAAGGCATATTTTCTAAGCCCACTTGAGGCTTTGAGAGCCAGCCTTGTACCCCTGGTGGGATAGAGGCTGCCAGATCTTGCACTCTCTGCCCCAAAGGGTTTTGGAGAATCTTTCTTTCCCCAGAAAACTCATATCAGGCAGGTGGCAGGTAGCAGTTTTGGCAAAAATCACATAAGAAAATCAAAGTCAGGGACAATGCTTCAAGAGTTATATAGTGCTTCAACAATTCAACCACTTATTTATCAAGCATTTACTATGTATTGTTCAAGGGCCACAATGTGGCACAGTGGATAGAGTGCTGAGCCTGGAGTCAGGAAGACTCATCTCCCTGAGTTCAAATCCAGCCTCAGGCACTTACTATCTGTGTGACCCTGCACAAGTCACTTCACCCTGTTTGCCTCAGTTTCCTCTGCAAAATGAGCTGGAGAAGGAAATGACAAACCACTGTAGTATCTCTGCCAAGAAAACCCCAAACAGAGTCGGGAAGAGATGGATGTGACTGAAATGACTGAATGACAACAGGTCTAACATGAGGGGCAGTTTTTTAACAATAAAATGGAGATTGCAGGGGGCTCAAGGGGGGATCTAGCAGAATGGGATGGGAATGCTGAAGGGATGAGTCTGACACGGATGGGTACGAGGGAACAGGGAGTGATGGTTAGAAAAGGGGGCTTCCAGCCAAGCAGCTTGCCTCTGAATCGCAAGGATTTTGTTGGAGTGGAGCCACATGGCAGTAGATTTTTCTGCTTTTCATAGTAGCAAAGGTAATATTGATTTGATTATCAGCCCTGGAGAAAAAGTTGAAAAGATGAGGGGACAGCAGGTGGTTTGAGGCAGGTCTGATGCGCAGTGTCTGGTCCTCCCTGACAGTCAGGGAAGGTGTTGGTGGAGTCCCAGGGCTGGCCTGGATAGAGAGGGGTGAGGTCTATTTGAGGTGCTCATGCTCAACAGATCAGCTGTGCCCTAGGACTCACTGTCAGGTAGATTACTGGGCTGGGGTAGCATCACGGGATGGAGAGTCTTTGTTCTTGAACTGCAACGGTGTATTAGACTGAGAATAGAAGAAAAACACAGGTCAGTCCTTGCCTTCTGGGAGCTCACATTCAGTCAGGGGAGACAAGCTATACACAATTAAGTTTAATAAGAAGGAAAATGTCAGTGAGAGAAAATGAGAGTGAAAGAGACAGAGAGAGACATATGAGGAGAGAGAGATAGAGACAGAGAAGGGGGGGAGGGAGAGAGACAGAGAGACAGAGAGTGAGAGAGACAGAGAGAAAGAGAGACAGAGAATGAGAGACAGAGACAGAGACAGACAGACAGAGAGCAACAGAGACAGAGGGACACAGAGAGACAGAGACAGAGACAAACAGAGATAGAGAGACAGAGGGGACAGAAAGACAAAGAGACAGAGAGAGACACAGAGAGAAAGGAGAGAGAGAAGGAGAGAGACAGAGACAGAGATGGAAAGAGAAACAGAGAGAAAGGACAAGAGAAGGCCAGAGGGGGGAGGGGGGCAGGGAATATCGGGGAAGACTGCTCCCCAAATGGGTGTCACCTAAGCTGAGCCTGATGGGAAGATTAGTATTCTGTGAAATGGAGCTTAAGAGAGAGGTCATTTCCATGTATAGGGAATGGCTTGTGTGAATTCCCAGAAGTGGGAGTTCTGAGTTTAGGAAATAGCTCATAATATAGATCAGAAGGAAGACAGAATTTATGAAGTGGGATAAAGTATAAAAAAGGCTAGAAAGGTAGGCTGAGGCCAGACAGTGCAGGGCCTTAAGGGAGGTTACATCTGCCGAACATCCATCCAAAGACCCCAGAGGCTGGGTCACAGAGGAGAGATCATCACCAGGTCCCCATTCCTCCCTCCTCAGGAAAAGACCAATACACAGACTCCTGTGACACCTACTTTCCATTTAGCCCCAGGCTCTGTGCCCCCTAAGGCTTTCCTAGGGCTGCTCTTACTCATGTGAGGACAGTTCCTTTCTGTAATTTATCAGGTCTCATGGGATTTAGAGGTAGACAGGCAGGACCTTAGAGATCATGCAGTCCAGTCCATGGAGGAGAAATGACTTGTTCAAAGGCACCCAGGCATTAAGTCCCACAGCAAAAATTCCAAACTAGTTCCCCCGAGAGGCAGCTCTGACCTTAGAATTTAGAAGATTGATTTGAACTCTTCTGTAGACACTCTCTGTGCAAGCCTGGGAAATCCCCTTCATCTCTCTGGGATCATTGTCCTCTCCTGCCAAAAGAAGAGGTTGGCCTCTCTGGCCTCTGAATCCCTTCTCCCTCTGCATCTCAGATCCTCTGATTTCATAGCCAATAGTCTGTCCATTAACCCATTCAGGACAGACCATCAATAAGGTGGGAGAAAACAAACCAGCCAATACATTTTGAACCACACGACCAGGAGGGGTGAAGGGCCTTGAGTTCATGCCACATGAAAGTTGATTGAAAGAACTGGGAATGCTTAGCCTAGAGAGGAGAAGACTCAGGGTGGGGCATGGGAGCTGTCTTCAAGTATTTGAAAGGCTCTGCTTTGTCCAAGAAGGAAGAACGAGGGCGCTGATGGTGGTGGTGGGGAGTTTCAAAGGCCTCATATCAGAAAACTTCCCAGCAAAGCAGAATGAGCCGTCTTAGAGTTGGGGGGCAGTGGTGGGGGCTCCCTCACTTAAAAGGACTACAGATTTACAGGCTACCACCATGGCGAAACATTTTCCACACTACAACAGGGCCACAGGGCCCTAACTTTTGTATTTTGGTGTCTCTTGAAAAGCTAGTAGTGCATAGGAATTGGAAAATTTCAAAAGAAAAAACAAACCAACCCCATGTTCATTTCTCAAAGTGCTAACTCGGTGGAACAGCTGTACTGTCCTTGTTTGTGCCCTTGAGTTGCTGTGTTGCAAGATAATTCTAACTTGCATATATAAATAAAAACATTTGCTTGATAACTTAAGCCTGACTACACTTGCTTAGAGCAGTTGAGCACCCAAGACTATAAAAATGTTCCAGAATGGACAGCCAGCCCCTCCCTCTATCTCTGAAATGGAGCGTATACCCATTCACTCAATAGGAGAGAAATTCCCAGTATGCTCAGTCTTCATGCTTCAGGGCACAAAGCTGATTACCAGCTAAAGTCAGGAAGTTACTTCTCCCTCTAACCCCTCCCAAAACTCTCTCTCTCTGTCTCTCTCTGTCCCTGTTTCTGTCTCTCTCTGTCTCTGTCTCTCTCTCTCTCTCTCTCTCTCTCTCTCTCTCTTTCACACACACACACACACACACACACACACACACACACACACACACACACTTAGACATTTTTTTACCATATTTTTAAAATAACAGAATCATAGACTTCTGTAGCTCAATGAGACTTCGAGATCATCTAAGGGCCAGGGAGGGTACGCATCAACCTTCTTAAACATGGTGGCTGTCTTCACATATTTGATGGGTTGTCATACAGAGGATGGAATATCCATGTTCTGCTTGGCTCCAGAGGGGAGAATCAGGGGCAGAGAGTGGAAATTGCAAAGAGGCTTTAGTGCCTATAAGTTTATAGTTTTAGAGGTGGAAGAGTCCTTAGGGGTTATCTGGGCCACTGGTGTCAAGCTCAAAAAAGAAATGGGGCCAATAAGCCCACTATACTATAATAAGGTCCTTGGTAGCACATGGACATTATGAATGTTCTGCTGGGTTTTTATTTATTTTGTTAGATATTTTCTTATTATATTTTAATCTGGTTGGGTGGTACTTGGGAGTGTTGAGCTGCAATGCAGTCCATGTTTGACATCTGTGATCTGGCCTAATCCTCTTCTTTAACAGAGGAGGAAACTGAGGCCTAGAGAAGGGAAGGGACTTCTCCAAGGTTACACAGGCAGTAAGTCAGAAGAGTATTCCCTTGGGTCTGTGGCAAAACCCTTGTACTTTGTTCTGGCTATAGTTCTAAAGAAAATATCTCTTTGTAAAAGTTATTAGGATTAAAATTATTTTATTTTTTTATTTTTTTTAGACAAGTGACTTGCCCAAGGTCACATAGCTAATAAGTGTCAAGTGTTCGGTCTGAGGCGGATTTAAACTCAGATCCTCCTGACTTCAGGGCCGGTGCTTTATCTGCTCTGCCACCTAGCTGCCCCAGGATTAAAATTATTAAAAATATTAAGTGGAAGGAAAGAAATAAGCATGAGTACCTTAATAAGGCTAAATATTTTACAAATAATATCTCATTTAATCTTTACAAGAACCCTGGGAAATAAGTGCTATTATTATCCCCAGTTTACTGATAAGGAAACTGAGGCAGGGATGAAGTGACTTGCCTAGGGTCACACAGCTAGTAAGTGTTTGAGGCCAGATTTGAACTCAGGTCCTTCCTGACAGTGGACAGAGTAGTGGGCTGGAGTCAGGAAGGCCTGAGTTCAAATCTAGCCTCAGACACTTACTAGCTGTGTGACCCTGGGCAAATCATTTCACCTTGTTTGCTAGAGAAGGAAATTGCAAACCACTCCAGTATCTTTGTCAAGAAAACCTCACGGACAGTATAGGCTGTGGGGTCACTAAATGACTAAACGAACTACTCCAACACCTTCGACTCATCCCTGGAAACCCAAGGTGGCTCTGGGAGAGAGGAAGCCAGAGCAAGCATGCTACAGGACCACTGAGCTCTAGTGGGAAGGCACAGAGCTCTCAGAGGCTGTCTAGTCTGCCCCCTTCCATTTACAGAGGGGTGGCCCAGGGCAGAGCGGGCCTGCCCAGGCTCTCATGGGTAGACAGCATGAGAGTCACAATGTAAGCCCTGTTCTCTAACTCTGAATGCCACCTGCTTTCCCTATGTTTGTAAGGGGTTAATACCCAATCATGTCTTTTCTAAGTCAGTGAGTATTTATAGCATAATTACTGTCGCTTGACAGAGATTTTCCAACATCTAAAAGTGGGTCTTGGATTCCAATTAGATCCATTGACATAGACCAGCTGTATATATGAAGAAACTGAGGCCCAGTGAGGTTAAGAATATTGTCCAAGGTCACAGAAGTAGTAAGAGGTAGCAGAGAGAAGCCTTGAACCCAAGGCCTCTGACTCCAAATCCACTGCTTTTTCTACTATGGCCATTGGCTCCCAACTCCAGGTAAATTCCTGCTTAATGTAAGAAGACTCTTCTTGTCCATCAGAGCTGCTTCTGACTGGAATGGGGGAGGTCAGAGGCTCCCACTCATTGCTTTCCCCTTCCTCCTCAAAAGATCGCAGATGTGCTTACCCTCCCCTCCCCCTCCAATAAGCCTCCTGAGGACAGGTACTACATTTTGTTTTGTCATTATATCCCCAGTGCCTTGCACAGAGCCTCGAATGCAGCAGGTGCTTAATTAGTGCTTGTTGGATAGAATGCATTGTTGTTGTTGTTCAGTAGTTTCAATCATGTCTGAGTCTTCCTGACCTCATTTGAGGTTTTCTTGGCAGAGATCCTGGAGTGGTTTGTCATTTCCTTCTCCAGCTCATTTGACAGATGAGGAAACTGAGGCAAAGAGGGTGAAATGACTTGCCTAGGGTCACACAGCTACTAAGTGTCTGAGGCTGGATTCAAACTCAGGAAGATGAGTGTTCCTGATTCCAAGACTGGTGCTCTAGCCACTGCACCACCTAGCTACCCCTAGATTGCATTGGAAGTCCTCAAATAAAGGGTGAGAGAGGACTTGGGAGTATTATGGGTGCAGGGGGGTGGTTCCTCTTTATGTTAGACTAGATGACACTGAGGGCTCTTCCAGCTCTGGAATTATGGGAGTCTGGGATTCCATCAACAGGAAGCACTTGATAACGTTCTATTCAATTCTTTATTGTCTAAGACTGGCTGTCCTATTTTGTTTAAACAATTAAATAAAACACAGTCAAGGTCAGAGATGTCAAACATATTGTGTGTGTGGGGGGGGACAGCATGTCCGGAACCAGATTAAAATATAATTGGGAAATATCTAACAAAATAAATAAAAATCCAATAGAACAAAGATAATGTTAGTAATAGTGTACTCTATCCATAAGGAATCCTTATGGAAGGGGGTAATGACC